GTTCCTTTTGCCTTAAAAATAAAGGCAGGATGACTTTGGGTGGAGCAATAGTGATATTATTTTAGGAAATAAACCTTTGAGGTGTGTTGCTCAGTTACACCTCCTTTAATATAGTAACATGAAAACCACAGAGATGGAGAAACCAGTTTTGGTGGGTGCACAGAGGTGCAGCTCAGGGGTGCAGGTGTTGAGCTGATACCCAAGTCTGCAGGGAGCACAACCCAGGGGTCCTTCCTCCCCACACAAATAACCCTGGGGCTGCAGCACAACACCACAGGCTCTCTGTTATGGGTCCCATCTGTTCCACAGACTCGTCCAACCAGTTGAGTTTTGCTCTCAGGGTGTTCAAGCAGGAGGGGCCTGTGGTGCTGTGATGCCCATTCCCAGAGTGATGCAGGAACTCAAAGGGGGGAATCTCCTGGTGGTTCAGGTTAGGAGTTGTAATGAGCTTCTGAGAATGTTAATGCATGTGTTTGAGTTTTGAGGGTGGTTGAAATTCGGGAAAAAAGGTCTGGAGAGAACTGCTTTTCCTTCACCTTTTGGGAGGGTTCTCAGGATTTTGTCCAGTAGCTCCTAATTTCTGCCAGTAAACTCTCTTGGTGCACAGCAGTAAGGGTCATGGCAATATCTGAAAGCATTGCCCTGAAATGGCATTAAAACCTAAGAAATTTCACTGGGGAAGCAGGTGAGAGCCTTGTGGCAAACTGTTGGGTTATCCACCTCTATACAGCTGCCATTGATTATTTAAATGCTTTTTTTAAATTATAAGTGAATGAGAGTACCCCTCTCATGGTACCCACATGGATTGTTTTCTTCTTCTTTAGGAGAAATTGGATTTTTCACTTTGTGTCTTTTAGAGGCTCTGATTCAGGTTTCCTACTGTTCTATCCCTTTCTTTAGGGACAGTGCAGGAGGCAGGAATCTGAACTCCCTGATGCTTGAGAAGGTGAGTAATGACTTGGAGAAGACCTCGTGCGTATCTTTTGATCTTTGGGCTTCAGACACCCCTTCACCCATAATTAACTCATGTGTTGACTGATCACCTGAGTGATCAAGGGAGACTCAGCATGTCAGGGGAAACCAGGAAACTATTACTCTATGGCAAAACAGCAATCAAGCCAACTCGTCTGTGATACAAATCAGATCCCTGCAAGAGCAAGTCACGTAATGGCAAACTGTGCTGGAGATGGATGAGATCCTAAATCATTATCTTCAATAGCATCAATTATGTTTACAGGGTAAGCCCATGGTATCTTCATGGCAAGCACTACATCCAGATAACAGCAGCAGCAGCAACAACAGAAATTAAAATTACAGCCTGAATTTGGGGAGGGGCAGTGCACTAGACACAACTGGCCAATAAATCAAGACCATCCGTGGGTGAGATGGAGGGGAATGGTAATGGTTATCATGCTGTTGTATAAAATGCACATCTTAGGGTATATAGATCATTTAAAATATATATGAATTTGAAATCAGCCAAAAGATATGTCAGGCATTTTTCTTTGTAGAATTATGGTATGTTTTTAAAGCCTAAGTGCTTTTCAGTACAAATTTTAGCATGTTTTGCATTCAAATGGAACATCTACTATACGTGTGAAGCCCTTGCACACACTGACTGTAAAAGTGGAGGGAATCATTGGATTTATAGGTTCTTTTGCACATTCTGTCAAAGTCAGCCCTTCTGCCTAATGGAGCCAAGGAACAGGAAAGGCTTTCATTGCACAACTTTGCATAAGAGAGATGGTGTTTGCTGTCTGACACATCACAACCTGTAAACAAAGACTCAAACCAAGTCTGCATTAAAAGAAGGAACCTCAGCTGGGAAGGGATTACATTAATAACAATTTCTGTAATGTCTTTATCAGCATTTCTGTGGCCAGTTTGTGATAATAAACAGGCAAAAAAAAAAAAGCTCTTGTTTGAGATGGAAGTAAATTCCAGGCTGATATGAGTGATGTACCTCATAACCAGTTATAATTAGAAGGGAGGCTTCTTACAGCTCTGTTCCTCTATAAATCACAGCAGATATTACCCCAACTTGTACAACAACTATGAAATATGCTATGAAATGTGAAATGCATGAAATAGGTTCTTTTGTTGCAATTTCATTCTCAGAAAAGCTCTAATTTGACACAAGCTTATGCCTTTTTTTGACAGGTTTCTTAAAAATAAGGCCCCAATTCCCTATTAAAATTTCCATTTAATAAAGTCTTTTTTTTTTGTGTTTTTTTTTTTTTTTTGTTTGTTTGTTTGTTTGTTGTTGTTTTGTTTTTTTATAATGACAGTTTGTGCAAACTGAAAGCATTGCATATTTGGGTACACAGAATCCCTGGAAGAGCTGATCGAAAAAACTCAAGCCAACCTTGTCTACAGCAGAAGCTTCATCTCAAACAAAATTTTACACTGAAGAAGCCAGAAATACAGGATAGTAACTAAATAGATGTGTATTTTCTTTTCCTTTTCTGACAGAGTCATCTTTGAGCTGGCCTGATGCCCACCTGCTTTATTCCAGATGTGGCCATGGAAAGTCCCTAAGGAAAGCAACCACAGGGAAGAAAGTCTTGCTGGCTTGATACCTAAAAACAAAAGCAAAGTAAGATTCCTTGAGTCTTTTTCTTATATTGATGTCTAAGTTTTTGTCCTATGAATTTTATTATATTTTTAATAGAAGATGAATGAGTTTATGTCAGAAGTGTGTTCTCTGGAAACAGAAGAGCCATCCAGGACTGTTGGTATGGCAGGGCTGTAGCTGCCTCTATGGATCCTAATTTAAAGCTGTAATTGCAGATAAAAACATAATTATATCCCCCAGCCACCTTAACTGAAAGGATTGATTCACAAGAGCAAAGCATGATAAGAACTTCTCTCTGGGCCAAGTGCTCATGGACATTTGAACCCCCTCGTTTGGGCATGGCCTGGATTTGTTCTTGTGTGGAAGAACATCGTGGGCACTGGGGAGACTTAGAAAACAACCATGGTTCCCCTTCTCTCAGAGCAGGTTTTTTGAATGAATGTGTTTAGAGGACCTGAGGAGGAATAAAAGTAGAAGATTGTAGTTCCTCCTTGAATCTGCCCATATTACAGGATATTAAATGTACATCCTGTTAAATACGCCCAAGGTCTTTTATTGTGAGTGATCCTCAGAGAAGATGCAAACCCCACTTTTCCTTAAAGGAAATTGGTGGAGGCTGAAGATCCTGAACCCCCCTTTCAGAAGCGGGCCCTGGAACAGAAGGGAGGGCACTCCCTGTCCTGGCATTCTCTCAGCCCACCGGGACAGGAGTACCTCATCACAACTAGGGAGGGGAACACCCAGGACCTTCAGGGTACCAAAACACTTTCAGGGATCTCAGCCCAAGACACTAGCTCTTCTTTAGCAACCCAGATTATTTTATCTTCAGAACCAAATAACTCTACTTATGGTACAGTCTAACAAACCAGTCATGTCTGCTTAATGTTCTCAGCTTGGAGGAGTAAATCTGTAGGGCAAGAAATATTTTTATAAGTCTGAGATTAAGAGCAATGGGGGGGAAGGCTTACACTATGATTGGCTGTAAAAAGAGTGAGATGTCATTACTCGAGGGAGGGTTCAAATATGAGGGACAAACTTAGCTGCTTTAAAAATAAATTAGTATTTTTAAAGAATTAGACAGAACTCTTGTTTATTAGATGAAACTATCAATTGTTTTGTCTTCCAGAGGTAAACAAAGAGCTGAGGGAGTTTCAATCACTCACTCAGTCTTATGACCTTATGGTCACTGTCCAAAATACCAGCAGTAATGTTCCATGCTGGAGAACTAAGGAGAAGAAAAGCAGATACTCAGCAGGGTTAGCCCAGTGTCCTTCCAAGTAATCCCTTATTTTTCCAAAACATTTCCATATGGGGAACTCTGTCACTGAGCAGAAGCACTGAAAACAGTGTGGTCAGTGCTTTGTGTGGATGCTGATATTGGCTGTTGAACACCCAGAACAGTTGACAGGCTGCAGGGCTGCCCTGCTGGCTGAATGGAGAACTGATGCCTGGGGCTGAAATGTGATTTGTAACATAAACTCCAACCAGCAAACGGGCATCACCATCTGGGAGGGAAGCAGGGAGCTTGGATTAGCTCCTCTGGTGAAGATGAGTACCCAGGCAGAGTCTGAAGAACTGTTGCAGATAAGAAACTCTTGCCCTGAACTTGGTGGAAAACTGGTTCAAAACACAAATTTGCAGGATATACTTATTTATGCAGTGGGCTTGAGATGTAACCCTGAATGTAAATCCATTTTTGCTGGGCAAAGTTGGGATCTGGCTCTCTGCTAACCCTGGAAGCCTAGCTACAGTTCACCAATCCTAGAAAGCAGAGGGACTTACTCTTAAGAAAAATACTCTCTTTTTTGGTGTGTGTGTGGTTTTTTCCTTTTCTTTCATTTCCCCTTTGTTTAGTTTATTTTTTTATTTTCTTAAAGGGAAAATTTGTTGCAATAACACAAAGCCATCACGCTCTCTCTGGTTACAGCTGAGTGACACTACACGGGCAGCAGAATATGTACAAATTAAACTGTAACAACGTCCCGGGGAGAGGCACAGCAACAGCATAAAAATTATCCACAGTGCAATATGACTAATGTTGTGTGAAATGCATTCACTGGCGAAATGATGTCGAGGTGTATCTTAAGGAGTTATGCTGCTGGAGATAATGGTTGTGGAGGGGAGCTGAAGGAAGGGAAGGCGAGTGAGGGCTGAAAGGTTGCAGCGAGGGCAGCCTGGCTGGGAGGAGGCTGGGGCAGGTGAGGGTGAGCAGGAAAGCTGAGCTCCTCTGGAACACAGAACCATGTGCTGAGCACTCAGTGGCACCTTTCCCTCTCACAGCCTGCTGTGGAGGTGTGCTGCTCCTCCTTTTATATGGGCTTTTTGCAAACATTTATCCAGAAACACAAGCTGCACATGTGTTAAATATTCTCTAGCTCCGTTACTTATAGAAATGTCTTTTTTCCCCCCCTCTTTCTAGGTACAAAAGAAAACAAAAATCCCAAAGAGAAGGGACTGATTTTTTATTAGCACATCTAAACGAAGAAATCAGCTCAAATTTAGAGAGAGGATGGCTAGAGTAAACAGTTCATTAAGGTGCACTCACAAGTTTTCATCTCATTCCTTAATCTGAGAGTCTTTTTGAAGTAAGTACATGTTTTGCCTGAATAAGGAACTTGGGTATTGGTAAATTAATTTGATTTTCCTCTCCATTAAACATAGATTTAGGAAAAATACATGTAGTGACCCATTGTAGCATCATGCTTATCCACAGATGTTTATCTAGCACATGAACGTTTTATTTTCAAAGGAATTTAGGGATTGCCCAAGCAAGTCTTTTCTTTAAAATCCAAGTTCCATTTTCCAGAACAGCTGAGGTGAGCTCCCAGCTCACTGAGTATCTCTTACAAACCTAAGTACTTTTGAAAATCAGAGCACTGGTCAGCATTCCCTGGGCAGTGTGTTGCTGGAGTGCAGGGCCTGCTCTCTGGTGCAGTCACAGCCTCTCGAATTACCAGAAAAACAGTGCTTTGATGGTGTTTTTGATTATTTGCTGCCTGGTTGGTTACAAAGAAGCACCTTAGGCTGAAATCATGCAAAGGTTGTTCTTTCTGATGTGTGGGAGCCACGTTAGCCAGTTTTGCTTCTCATTTATTGATATGTACAAAGATGGGAGGTAGACCCAGCCAAAAATGCTGGGATCCAACTATTTTCAAAGCCCTCAGATATCCAGAGGGGGGAGTTCATTTGTCTCCTCCTGAAGATAGTGGGTCCCCATGGAACACTTCAGTGGAAGGCAAAGCTCTCCAGAGATGTGGGGTGTGCTGGACTCAGGGTTTCTGTTCTGCTTCAAAGGCAAAGGAGGAGGGAGTGATGTGATAAAATCAGTGTTTTCAGCCCTAAATCTAACTTGGATCTGGGGGTTCTTTGTGAGCCTTATAAAGCTTTTTCTGCAGCCAACCACCTCCACTCAGCACTGAGCACGTGCCAGGAATTCCCCAGCAAAGGAAGCTGCCAGAACTCATGGAGTTGGGATAACTCTCTGCTATAATAATAATGGCCAGTCTTCGCGAGCAAAGATTTGGGAAAGGCCATAAAACCCGCAGTGCAGGCAGGGCTGTGGTGTGGCCAAAGGGGAACATCCTCAGCCTGCAGCCCCTGCTCAGGGATTTTGCACCCTCTCTGTGCTGCAGTGTCATGCTTTTCCAGGGCTGTGCTGGCTCTGTGCAGCAGGATTTCTGTGTGCCCTGTTCCTCTGGGAGATAAACCTGAGCCATGGACTCTGGGGGCAGGAAAGCACGTTCTGGCTCTGCCAGAGTGTGTGCAGTGATACAGCAAGCTCAGCACTGGGAAGGGGGAGAGGCACTCTGGGGCCTGGGCTGCTTTATAGCTCAGCTGATTCTCTTCTTTCCCTCTTCCGTATCCCCTTAATAGCTTGACAGGAGAAATCCAGGGAAGATACAGCCCTGTGATTAACAGTGCTGGGGGCTGGGGAGGGATGACAGGGAAGTGCAGCGTGGCTACCAGCCAACTTCCAGCAAGAAACAGAATATCTGGCTTCCTCTAATCTCCAGAGGAAAATTAAGTTACAAAAACCTTTAGTGGAAACTTTGCATACGTTCAGTGCCATTGCCATGCCTGACAGGGAAAAAAACCCCTGATGTATTATTTAGTTTATAGTGATACAATTAAAGGCATAAGCTTTCCCACCAGGAATGAAGGGGAAGAAATCCTCTTGAAAACTGAAGACAAAACCCCTTTAAACTCCTTGACTGTTTTGTGCTGTCAGAGCTTTTGAGAAATTCTCCTTTCTGTGTCAATGGGTGGTTGTGTGAATTGTACTTGGGAACATCTTCCCCATGAATTTCTGCACTTGCATCCAGAGCCCTTCTCCTTTTCCCAGCCATTTGTGCTGCTTCCCTCAGGAGCACTGCAGGGCAGGAGAGGATGGAGGTGGGCAGGAGGCTCCCAACTCCCCTGGGCAGACACTGCCCCAGGAAAGGCTTTGGCTGCTCACGCTGCCCCTGAGAGCCAAGGCCCTGCTGCTCATCAAACCCGTGTGTGACACAGAGGAACTGCCCCCCCTCCTCCTGTCTGTCATCAGTGGTGATGAAAAATCAGGGAGTTTGATTTAAAAAAATAGTTTAGGTGTTAAGTGAGCAACAAGTTGGGACCTATGTGTGTGAGAGAAAGCACTGATTAAAATTAAATGGCCTCCTTATTGACAGGTACACCTAAAGCAGTTGGAGCAACCACGATGAAAGGATTACTTACATGTTAGCCAGTTTAGGAGAGGATAAAAAGAAGCTGGATTGGCTGGTTAGATCCCTGCTTCATTTAATCTTATGGCATGTTGATAGATGTGTGAACTGAGGTTTTTTTCATGTCAGAAACACTGAACAAGGGTCTGAAATGGCATCATGTGGCTCAGCACCAAGCATTCCCCTGCCTGGCTGTGCTGTCCTCTTGCTGGTTGCTCAGGCTGGTAAGAATATGGCTCTGTTTGCTCTGAGAGGAGAAAGTACAGCTGCATTTTGCAGTATTTCCCTCTACCTGGTTGCTCCCAACCTTCCTCATGTGATTCCTTCACCAGCCTCACCTGAAGGGAACATTTTCCATGCAGATGAATGTAGAGCCATGTCTACATGCCATTTCCCCTCTGAGCACTTTATTTCTCTTCAGCCTCAGGAACCTCAACCCCAGGCAAAACTCCATGTGGGGCTGAAATTGTACCCTGGCCACAGGAGAGGGATGTGTTTGTGTAAGTGGGCACACACAAAAGCAGATGTGTGCCGTCCAGAATAAAGGAGGCTATTCAGAAGGTCACAAAAAGGACAATTTATGGCCAGTTTCAGCAATTAGTCAGACCAAAGAAGTGAGGTGGGTCAGTATTAAAACCTCACTGTTTTGTTTACTTTAAAAAAGCATCAGGGAGTTCCAGCTGATGAGCAGAAATACTGAGAGAGGGTAATTAAAGAGAAACAATCTGCAGTGTTTCTCTTCATTTTGTTGTGCTCCCCTTACTCAGTGTTGAGAAACAGAGCTGCTGCTTTCTCTGTGGGAGGGTGGTGTGGGGGTGGCTGTGTGGGCACTTGTGCAGCAGGAATTCACTACTCCCTTCCTGCCAGGCTCCTGCACCTTGCAGTGAATTAAGGTCCTTCCTCCAGAAGTGCACCCAGCAGAGCTCCTGGGTCTCAGGCTATAGGGCCATCCTCTCCTATGACTGTTTTTATTGTGCTAATGGGGGAAAAAATTCCTTTGAAAGATTGATAGCTTCTAAAATACCCCCCAGCCCAAAACTTCAACTAAGTTAAACCTCGAGCAGGACCCACGCCCCACAGTTAACCACCTTATGTTAGTATAAATATCCTGTTCCATTTGAACTATTTTGTGTTTTATTCAGGTCCCAGTTCTCCTGCTGCCAACACTTGATTTTATGCCACAGTCTCATGAGTAGGGATTTCACAGATGTTTTTACAGACTCCTGAGCAACCCAAAGCTTTGTGCTATGTGGGACCCTTTAAAGTGCAGGTTGTAGGTGTACAGCAAGAAGGTAAATTTTCCATGATTTTTGTTTTACCTGGTCCATGGGCAGCCTCTTCTGCCTTGTGCATCGTGGGGGTGCCTGGGGAAGCTGATGGATGAGCTCATGTGTGAGGATAAGAGTGAGAGATGGAAAGTGCAGTGGAATGGCTGGGCATTACTTAATGGAAGTATCTTAATGAAAGAAAAGATATTTAAATATGTGGTTTGATTCACTGCAAATTTGTGGCAGTAGATGGGGCCCTTACTGTAATAAAATTCCCTCAAGTAGGGAAGTCTCTTGGGGGTGGTGTGAATATGCAGATACTGGTGTGACTTCTTAAAGATCAGCTCTGACCCGACTGAGGCACTTTGTTGTTTCCATGTAACTGCCCATGAAAAAAAGCCAACACAAAAAGCTGGAAATCAATGTTCTTAGACTTCTGTGTCCCATCTTTTCATTCCACTCTGTCCTAATGTCTTCTTTTATTGTCTTCCTTTCCAAGAAGCTGCAGACCCCCAGGCTCCCTGGTCTTGCTGACTGTGGACAGCACCTGTGTGAGATCAGGGACGAGCGAGAAGGGAAACACATCCCTGGAACAGGATGGGGCAGGACCAGAACCTCACTTTGTGCCACCACGCTGTGGATCCAACATTTCCCTCCTGCAAACACATTTCCTGGCAGTGCTGGGCTGGCCTGGAATCCAGACCTGGTCTGCTCCAGGCAGAGCCATTATCCTAAAGTGCTTTTATTGATCTGTTGACTTTCTGTCTCCCTCCTTCTCTTCCTCTCCTCACCCTGCCAGCCTCCTGAAGACTCATATCTTGTCTCATACAACCAAAGTATTTTAAGGGGAGAACAATGATTTTGAAGTCAGATTAGACAAATTATACTTGACCAGTGAAACCAGATATCCCCTGAATGATGTCTGTGGAAGGATTTGTCTACATTTACAAACAGCCCCTCTTCCTTCTCCTCTTATTTTCCCCCTCTGTGTGTGTCCTGGTGTTCTTCAAACAATCCATGTCAAGGCCTGGTACATCTTCCTTGAGCAGCCTGTTCCCCAGAGGGGCAGTGCCATCCTGTCATGCTTTATTTTTGGTTAAAGAAAGCTATAGTAGTAAATCTATACATGTGCTGTGATATCCAACAGTATTGAAGGTTGAGATTTAAAGAGGGGCCTGAAAGAATTAGTAGTTGATGCCTGTGGAAAGCCCAAAAGAGCTGTGTGCCTTACTGGAAATTTGAGGTGAAACATGTTGGAGTGCAATATATTACAGTGACCTGAGCTGCAAATCCTTTGGAGGTGGAGATAAAGGGAGAAAGATTAATACTGGAGAAAATGTTAACAGTCCTGTGTATTACCAAATACTAAAAAAGGGGTTTGGAAGTTGGTTGATTTGATTTGATTTACTATTTCAGTGTTCATAGTTTCTCAGGTTTCTGGAAAATTGCAATTGCTTCCAAATTACATTGCTCATTAACTAATTGGTTAAGGCACAGGCATTTAGTCAGTGGTCTGAAAAATACACAGGTAAATACTGAACAGTTAAAAAGGCTAAATTTGGTTATAAGAGTGCATTAACTTTTAAAAAATCTAAACTGTGAGGTCTTTCATATGTCTGAATACATCATTATTCATGAATGCAGTATTTGACAGATAAAGAAGTTATCAGTAGTTTATAGTTAGGTGTGCATGTTTATGTATAAATGCTTTATAATGCTAATTTTTTAATGTTGAAACAATATAAGTAAAACCATATTTCAGTAAAAAAACATAAATTCACATTGAACTCTTTTGTTAGGCTGGATGGTATTTTATCCTGTGAGGAATATGCCCATGAAAGTAGTGTGAGTGTTTTCACTGGGAAATATTAATGAGATTAGGGACAAAAACTTCTATGGTCAGATTTATTCCTTATCCAGCTTATTCATATCACCATTAGTTTTCTTCTTATGGAATCTCACGGAGAAGAAGATAAATTAATTTGCACTAATGAAAAGTGTTGCCTGTGCAGTACTGAAACCCTGAAGCTTCTGCTGTTGCTCTTGTAAGGCAGGAGGAGAACCAGCTCTGTGGTCTCAGGTGGGCAGCAGAGCAGGCAGGCCATGGATCGTGGGCTGCAATCAATGGGCAGGGTCTGCAGGCAACCCACTGGGGAAATGTTCATGGAGACAATTCAGCCAAGAAATTGGAATATAGTGAAATGGGGAGGGGGAAAAAGAAATCCAAGTCTGCTTCCATATTACTGGGGAAGCGAAAACATGTTGGTGATAAGTTTCCCAGAGCATGGGATGCCAACTTACAGACACAGGACAATGGCCCTGGAGTGAGTTGGGGTCCAGGTGAGGAGCAGCAGCTCACAGCTCAGGGCAGAGGACTTGGCTCCTTGTGGGGCTGTGTCAGGAACAGTGAACTGTCCTTTGGAGATCACAGGCAGGGAGAAGGGAATGGGAGTCCTGGGGGGAAGAGAACCTTGAAAGCTCGAGGCTTGGCAAGTACCCCCTGAGTCATTGACTGTCCTGGAGAAACCAGAGCAGCAGCAGAGCTCCTGAGCTGCACCCCTGGGAGTGCACACACCTCGGGCACTGGCTGGAGGGAAGAGCCAGAACTGTCCTCCCTCCCAGACAAAGCTCACAGTGACACTTTCTCGTGGAGAAAGTGTAACTCAGTGTATTCTGAACTAGGCACAAATGTGCATTTCTTTGTCAAAACGTAGAGATTTTGAGGCAATATGGTTTTGAGAGGGGGTGTGTCTGGCCAGTTCTGTAGAAATCCTGATCAAAGCACTGGCTCAGTCACTGAGATGCTATTAACAACTGCTGTAAGTAGACTGAGAAGTTTGTTTCTGTGTTTCAAAACCTAATTGCTCAGTGAAACTTCCTGAGTAAACAGGTTTCAGGGCCAGGAGAGGCTCATAACCACGCTTGTCTGGTAAGAGATTGTACAATGATAAAGCTGATGTTAGTTCTAAAAGGTAAATTTGTCTTTATACAGAGCAAGGTGAATTCGTGGACCTCCCTCCTGCAAGATGCTGTCAGGACAAGCTGGGAAGTTGGATGTCTGAGACAGATCAAGATGATTTTCCAACCACCAGCACGCAAGTAAACACACGATGTAATTTGCAAGCAAGGGAAAGCAAGCCAAAAATCACATTTCAAGATATAAATGATGCTTGAGCAGAATTATGTAAAACTCTGTCTCCTCTGACAGCAGCCCTGAGCATGGACGATGCATTTGGTGGGGTGGCACTGCCAAGCTTGCACGTGCCAAGCATGAGCTCAGGCAGGTGAGCTGGTCTGCTGGGGCAAATCCTGTGTGGACAGCAGTCCTCTGCTTGGGGCCTCTGGGGCTTTGCAGGAAAGAACTTTCCTATGGATGGGAATGCAGTGTTTGGGATGGTCAGTGACACAGGACTGGAGGCTGTCCCAGGGAAGAGGATTCTGAACTGGGAACTGCCTGGGTTTTTATCTGCCAGCCAGGTGAGCCAGGCAGCCTCACACCTGCTCTGTCAGATGGAACACAACAAGAGGGAGAAGGAAGGGAAATGTTCTCTGCTAATTCAGGGGGAGGAGAGAGGCAGGAGGAGCCCTGTGCACCTTTCAGCTCACACTGACTTGAGCTGCCAGCAGAGCAGTTGGGAGCTGCAAGGTGTGAATCCCACAGGAGCCCACTGTAATTAAGGATCCTACAAGGTGAAGGGGGGGGGAGAACACTGCAATAAGTTCATCAGCAGCATCCCCATCGACCCCCTGCCCCTCTTGGACACCCTTTGGAGATCTTCAGCGTGTTCTGGGTGTGTTTCAGGGCCAGGAAGCAATGCTGGCAAATGCAAAGGTGTGAAATGTTGGCCAACCCATCCCAAGCGCCCTACGAGGCACTGCAGGGAGCATTACTCTAAGTGGATGATGAGCTCAGTTCAGAGGCTGCGAAGTTAAAGCTTATTACCCTCATTAAGAGATGTGTGTAATGTGGTTTCAGGCTTCTGATATGGTAAACCCAACATTTTCCAAGTGTTTTGTTGTTCTGTCTGTTGTGCTTGGAGGGGAATTCAGTTTCTGTTTTGCATTGGGTCTATTCAGCCCAGAGAAAAGCTTCCTTCACGGAGTTCAGAGTTTGGGATTGCCTCTGAAGGCAGAGGCTGAGTGTGGGGCAATGTGTGTCAGAACCAGGAGGAGTTTCCCTGTGAACAGAGGGAAACAAGGAGCAGGGTGCAGGGATGTTCAGGTGCCTCTGCTGAGAACCAGTCCTGTGCTGTGAGCACTGGGGCTGAAGTGCCAGGCCATGCAGAGGTCCCTGTCCTGTGCTCCTTGGAGCTCTGCATGCCAGGAGATGGGGTTGTGTTTCTCCCAGCAGGGTGTAAATTCAGAAAGACAGCTCAGGTTTAGCTTCCTTTGCACTTTAACAAGCAGGAGCACTGTGGTGGGTGGGGCAGGATCAGGAAGCAGTTTAGGTTTACCAGGTACCGTTTGCACAAGAAGACGTGAGTTTCTCTGCCATGTGCTCCTCATCATCCTCATTATCTGTGCCTTTCCTGTATCTGGGCTCCCACAGCTCCTCCCAGTGATGGAGCACTGGCTCTCCACTCAGCTTGGGAGGGTCAGGTCAGGAGAGGTTTGAGGTGCTCAGCCCTGCAGTGAAGCCCTCCCTGCCTCAGAGGGCTGCAATTGAAACCAGCTGATCCCACGTCCCTTGCAAACATTTCCATTTCAAACCACTGAAGTTTTATGTCTTTCTAGTAAATTTTTTTTCTTAGGCCTCATAAATCTCATAAAGATCTGGAACAGCCAGTAAATCTGGCCATTCAGATACACATTTTCCAGTAAAGAGGATAATGGTTGCTGATGCCACCTCCCCTCCCCAGCCCTCAGCTGGAGGAGTTCCCCTCTCCCTGCCTGCAGCTCTGGCCAAGCTGAGAGAGGCACTGGGCAGGTCCTGTTTGCACCAAGGACTGAGCCACTGCTGCACCTCTGCTGCCTTTGCCACTGCCCCTGCCCAGGACCTGAGCAAAATCATTTGTCCTCTGCACGTCTCAGATCAGGAGAAATAGGTTGGTGCTTCCCTGCTCAGTGGGTTGGGAATGTTGGCTGAACCTTAGTTCTGCTGTGAGAAGTTGCAGAATTCCAGGCTGGGGATCCTCCTAAACATGAGAGTGGACTCTGTCAGCAGGCCTCAGTGCTCCTGCTCCCTGCCCTCCATGCAGGTTGCTCGTGGCTGGGCTGTGGTTGGCTCTAGTCCCTGGGATAATCCAGAGAGGAACCTTTCTACCTGAGCACCCACAGCAAATCCAGCAAAGTCTCTTAGGCTTGGATTTCCAGGTAGGCTTGAAAGGACATGAACTGGAGGACAGCATAAACCCAAGACTCCTCAGACTTCCATTGGAAATACCAGGCAGAAGTGCTGAAGTTATTTAGAAAAACACTCTAGAAATAGAACATTGAAAGCATATTTCCCCTTTATTTGTTGTCTCCCAAGTTCAAACAAGCTTATTTCCTTTCCTGCAATGCTGCTTTTGATAATCTTGTGCCAAAGGCACTGAATCTGTTCTTATTGCTGTCAATAGCAAGATGCCTGTTGCTTTTAATGGTTCAGCTATTAAAGCACTGCACCCCAGTTGTCTGGCTGTGAGCAATCCCAAGCTATCGCAGTGACAATATGGAACCTTTTTCCTCTCTGAATGTTTCTCTGCAAAGTTTGACCATTTTGGCTGGGGTAAAACATGTGTCTATCTGGGATTCTTTCCAAGGATGAGATTTTGACAGCTGTGCTCATGTTGGCAAAAATCCTGACATCTTGTGCTTGGTTGAAATAGCAGATTCTTAGTGGAGAGGGGTGGGAATCCGATTTCATAGATGAACACTTATGAATTGAAGACTGTGAGCCTGGCTGAGCCCCTTTCACTTGGGTGAAGAGGCTGAACCTCCTCTGGGAACAGGGTGGAGCCTCCCTTTCTCCCCCTGCCCACCTGTGGGCACAGATGGCCCATGGGCAGTGGGTTGGAGCTCTCTGTGCCTCTGCCAGCTTCGTGCAGCAGTTTGGGACATGCCTTGGACTGCACCCACCAAAGTGGGAGTCAGCCTGTTTGCAGTACATGCCTAATGATTTTCATTTACATTTTGGATGTTTGGGCACGACTGGGGGTGGTGTGAGTGAGCTTTCAGTGAAAATCCACCTTTGCAGCCCTGAGCAAAGCTCAGCCTGTAATTTATGCTGCAGAGCCTGTGAAAAAGCAAAGCCTTGCTCCAGTCTGAAGCAGCTTGTTTGGGGGTTTTACAATCACTGTTATGATTAAGATGATTGAGTGTTTTTTGTTTGCCTTTTTTTTTTTTTTTCATGGAGTGAAATCTCCATCTTGAACTGGAGAAATATTTCCCACAAACGCTGTAATTATTCAAAGCTGATATGTTTCTGCAGTAACCTTCAATCTGATGGACTGTCACTTTTCTGATGAAGAATCACTTGTTTGGAGACTCGAATTTCTATTATCTCAACAAATAGGGAATGGTGGCTCAGAAAATTGTGTCATGAGGTCACCCAGGTTCTCCACATCAGAGCCAAGGATAAACTGGAACAGGTCTGGTGGAAGGTCATCAAAAAGTTTTCAGAAGGTATTTTGCAAAGATTATATTATTTCAAAGTTTCCAATGGCCAGATAGTTCCTTTATATTTTACCAAGAAAAATAACTTAAAAAAAAAAAAGTAACGAGGTTTTAAAATCACATCAACAATAATTTTCCATGTCTGGTATTTCACTGGAAAACAGAGAAAAATATTTTTTAAAACACAAACAAGATAGTAGTCAAACAACAAACCCCCAAACAAAGCATACCTCCTGATGAAAACAATTCAAACAGTTTTGCTCAGGACAGATTGTAGCTTAGGGTTAGACACAGAAATTCAGATGTTCACCCTTGCTCCCATGGCAAATATAAGGTATTTGATGTAGCTTTTAAAGGAAAATCAGCTAAAGTGGCTCAAATTCATTCTTGCTGTGCATTAAGTGACGTATACAGATATTTACTGTCCATGTGAAAGCACTTGGGTAGCCTTTTCATGCCTTTAGGTGCTCAAGCCTTTTTTAAGTATTTGGGAGGCTGCAGATGCCTGTTATGGGACAGATGAATGGGATTTGAAATGGGTAAATCTGGGACAGCCCAGGACAAGAGCCAGGGGGATGTGTGGGGCAGGCAGGGGAGCTGGAGGTGAGCACTGAGCACAGAGTATTTATCCTTGCATAGGCTGGCCATGCACTGAGTGGCCAAAAAAGTGACCAGTAACTACAAAAATATATGGGAAAAGCTGTAGCCCTTGTGCTTTGCTCGTGGGACCTGTTTGAGGAGCAGAGGGAAGGCCTCTGTGCTGTGTGGGAGGTTGGTGAGTGTGACCCTGAGCGATGCTCAGAGGCCTCTCAAAGTCCTGCCTTAGTGCCGAGCTCTCCCCTTCCTCTCCCACTTGTTTTTTGAACACTAGGGCAAATATTAGCACATCTGGGAGTGCTGGGCTGCTGTGTTTGGAGTGCTTGTAGCACCCCTGTTAGCTTGATTAAAACTAACATCCCCATTTCTACACTGAGAAATTCCAGTGGCGTGTCTCCCATAAATTAAACTGAAATTCCAACTCTGGGTTGTCTTCTAGTTCTGCAGCAGATCTGTTTACTCTGGAATAGCATAAGGCAGATGTCTTCATCTTTGCTGATTCTTAACAGGTCACAGGCATTGACTTTAAATAACTAAAAGCCTTTAAAATAATTTTAACACATGCTTCCCCCTCCCCAACAGACCTTAACCTTTAGCTGGCCTTAACCAGAAACGCCCAGGATAAAATAATCCTAAAACAGAGCATCATAAACCGAGGAGCAGCTTTAAATATACAGTGTGATCATTACCTGAAACCAGGGAAGAGGTTGGAATAATTATTGCTCGTGTTTACACTTCTGTATCTCAGTGGGTTATGTTCAATCCCTTAATGATGATGATTAAAAACATACTGGAAACACGTGGTAATTAGAGCGAGCACTTAACCGTGATTCCGAAAGCACAGAGGTGGCTTTGAAGTGGGACTGGACACAGTGTGTGTTGCCAAAACATTGCCAGAGTCAGGAGCACCCTGCAGCAGGTCCTTGGTAAGCATGGGCACGATGCCCTGTCTGGTTTGGCTCCTGCAGCATCTGCCTCCAGCACCAACCTCAGAACTGCTCCTTGTACGTCACTGAGGCTCCTGCAGCCCTCAGAAAGAGCTGATTGATGGGGGGTGAAGGATCATGCAAATACTCTGCTTTTTAACTTCTGTAAAGCCAAAGCTGAATTTTGGTTTGTTTCTCCATGGGGGACCTTTGGAGGGCGAGGCAGTGTTTGGGAAGAGGGAAGGAGGAGGAAGTTTGGGGTGACAGCGGGTGCTGGTTTAGGCACTTTGCCCTGCCAGGACTTCAGTGTGGGTACTGACATGAAAGGGAATTCTCCAGCCACGAGCTGTAAACCTTGTGTTTTAGGAGTGTTCCTGTGGGTGAAGGATAGGGGCATGTATTGCAGAATGGATTCCTTTGTTTGTTTTCCCCATTTAAACAAACAAAAACACTCCTATTATAATAAGCAAAGAAGGGTGAGTGATGAGGCTTGTGCTGCAAAATCATGTTTGCTGGAAAAGTTGTCCTGTTTTCCATTGCTTAATTTCAGCTGACCAGGGAGGGCATGGAGGCTGGGGAGAACACAGCTACTTTCTTGGATGTATTTTTATGAGCAGTAGAGGGGAGTCCTCCCAGGGGGGAGCTGTTTAGTGTAAGGAGAGCAGAGCTCAGAACAGGTCCTCCCTGTTCCTTTGGGGCTCAAAGAGATTCACTTCTCCTCATTATCCTTTAATTTTCTCCATCATCTGTCTTGATAATTTTCTCTGCAAACCCAAATTCAGTTTCTGTGCCCATACTGATGCCACAGAGAGCACATGCTTACACCGTGTTTCTCCCATTTGGGTGGTGTTCCTGTCCCCCCACAATGTCCCCTTGCAGGCTGTCACTGAGACTCAATACACCTAAAACAAGGCTTTTCCCCACAGTTGTGCTCTTTCTTAAATATTGTGGACACCCTTATGCTCCTGCCTGTCTCTCACACCTCTGGGGATTCCCTTTACCTTGTGTCTCTTTAGGTTTGTGCCTGCAGGCACTGTTGAACTGGCCACTTGTTTCTGTGTAGCCTCTCTAAAATATTGCCCCTCGTGTCCCCTGTCCTGGCTCCCAGGCCTGCTCAGGCTGTCACTGCCATGCTCCTCAATCACTGTTACAACAGGGCTAATTCTGGCCTTGGCAAATCCCATCTCACCCTGTTCATGCCCACTCTTTATGCTCAAAAAAATAATCACTTGCCTTGCCTGTCCATCACTCCTCCTGCTGCACCTCCCTTGCAAGTCTTTGCTCTTGGTCATATCAGGCACAATCTACTCATCCAACATTCTGCAATTCTGCTTTTGGGTCTCCTATCCCTCTGCTCAGAGATCACTGATGGTGGCAGATGGAGGGACGTGCAGAGAGTGGAGTTTGTTTAGGAGAAGATGCAGCAATATCAGGAGTCCACATCCAACTCCACTTCTTTTTCCTTGTTGGGGTGTTCCTTGGAGGAGCCTGACATTGTACATGGAGTGTCCCATGCCCTGGCCTGTGCAGGACAGGATCAAATTGCTCTGGTAGGGCTTTGCAGCACACTTGGAGCTGTATTCCAGCTCAGAATCTCCTGCAGCTCCCAACCACGTGGGACCAGTGTGAGCAACAGACTTCAGTCCATTTTCTAAATGAGAGTTTGTGCTGCAAAGCCCAACTGCTGAGCAGTTCCTTTTCCTGTGAGAGGGAAGAACTGTGGTGAAAGCTGAAGGAAACCCCTGCTGCAGCCCCGTGTTGGGAACAAAGGTCACTGGCTCTGCAGCAGCCAAGTGTGCAGCCCAAGGCCAGTGAACACCTTGAGCCTTGTCCCGAGGCTCTGGGGCCTTTCACAAAAGCTGGGCAGGATTCCAGTGCTGAGCCAGAGGAAGGACACTTGGCCCGTGTTGCACCTGGGGCATCTCAACCTTATTGCAGTGTCACATAAGGCTTTGTCTGGGTTTATTTTATTTAATGGCCTTTTTTTTTTTCCTGGTTATACTGTCACAGGAAATTCTCACTGTTCTATTACCTTTTTCCTGCCGGAACTAGCCTTAAAATATAATGAATAAATAAATATACATACATATAAAAATATGCAGACAGGAAAGCCATTCAGATCTGCAGAGGCCTTGATAACGCTGCTGATGAGGTTGCCAGCTTTCCCTGTGTCTGAGCTGAACAATTCCCCACCACCTCCCCAACTCCTGGGAACTCAAGGGGAGGCAGTTGTGAAGCTTCTAATTCCGAGTACAGGTGTCTGGTTTGAAAGACACCACATGCCATGTTTTAATCTCATTTAGGAAAAAGGTAATTAAATAAAAATGCAGATGTGTTACAGTCACAGTTCCTGAACATCTGAAATGCCTGTCGGGTTTAAAAAAGTAAAGAATAAATCTCTCTGGAGGAGCACTGTCCTCTCCTCTGTTGTAATATTATCCAGTATTAGTATTTTAAATAAGAGGAAGAGTTTAGAATGTCAACATCTGCTCTTACCCATCTCTTTACAGCAGGAACATTGTGTTTAAAAACAAACAAGATAGGAATGCCTGAGCTCTCCTCATTATTCTGTGTATCGAAATATTCCTGCCAGTGTTTACTTGTTGCACGTTCTGCTCCATCATTTGGTGTTCTCAAGGTGCTGTAGATCATCCAAAGCAGAGCAGTTGTTAGACCTGCTCAACTCTGTCATAACAACTCGGGTACTCACTGATCTTGCTCTTCTGAATTCTTAACTTGAAAAGTGTAAATGCCACTATATTCTGGATAAACTGCTTGAAAAAGATCATTTTGCAAAAGATTAGTCAGCTTTAGGATGGACTGTTCCCTGGGGAGCAGTAATGATGATGGTAGCAGTGATAACAATAAGCTTACCACAGAATTCGTCTGGTCTCAGGCCAGCCCAGTATTTAACCCCATGCTCAACTCCTCCAGTGTGTTTGCATCCCTGCTGAGCAGAGTTAAGCTCATCCTTCAGCTCTTTGCTCCATTGCTGCTGGATTCCAGCACATGCTGCTCCTGTTGTTTGTTTGAGATGTGCTGTTTCTGGGTTTGACCAGCCAGAGTAAACCTTTGGGATTAGCAAAGGCTGAAGAATGGCTAATATATTAATTATTCATTATAATTTAGGAAGTTACAACATATATTGCGAGGTTTTTGATCTCTCCTTTCCTCTGTTTAACCCTTTTTCTCTAGTGCTACCTGAGGTTGGGAGATCCACAGCTGGGAGTGGAAACTCTTGGCCTTAGAGAAGGAGTACAGAGGTGCCAAGCCTGGCTGGGAATCCTGCTGGGAATCTTTCAGTAATGCTGGGGAGTTCTCCTAAAGGTACTATTTCTTTGAACTCTTGCTTTTGTTGAACGAAAAATGAACCCCAGAGCGTGGCTTCTTTAGAGAGGTGCAAACCCACACCTTTCTAGTCCTCCTGGTGTGATGGAGGAGACCTTAAAACATGATGTGGTTATTGTGTTCTAGGCTCCAAAATAAAAAAGTACATAAGAAGTTTCTTACACTTCTTATTAATTTTTCAGGATTTTCAAGCCAATTTCAAGCCTTTTTGAGACCTTACAAGTTTTGAGCACTTAGTGTTGGCAATTCCTTGAGCCCCTTAAGCCAAGCTTGTGGGAAATCTGATTTTTATTGAACTTTTTTGAAAATTCATCCTTCCTTACTGCTCTGAGCATTATAGAAACACCACATGAGAAAGAGTGAGGGCTTTAAGGCCTGTACCATCTAAAATGATTGTCACAGAGTAGGAACTCCAGCTGCAGCAGGTTTTATCCTCTCAGACCCCACTCTGCAGCACTTACAGAGGAGCAGAGCCCTGTGTCAGCAGCAGCTCCTTGCACAGCTCAGTGATGCTGCAGGTCTGAGCTTCAGGCTGCCAGGGGGTTCTCAGGGCTCTGCCTGCTCCTCACCTGGGTTTGCAGGCACAGAATCACAGAATGTGCTGAGTTTGAAGGGACCCACTAGGATCATCAAGTCCAACCCTTAACCCTGCACAGGATCATCCCTGAGAGTCACCCCCTGTGCCTGGGAGTGAGAGCAGCAGTGAGCTGGGGGAGCAGAGGCCCAGCAGTGCCCTGAGAGTGCCAGCTTTCCAACTGGACTCTGGGGTTATCCCTAAATGCCTACAAATACATCAGAACCCTGCCATTGTCTCAACCAGACTTTGGATCGGGGGCTCTTAAGCAGAAGAACAGCACATCTTCTGTTTGTTCCACACTCCTATAATGCTTTTAAAAGAAAAGAAAGAAAAGAGAAAATCCCCAAACACAAAGCTGAAATGTGCTGTGAGTTTTGCCCTGACAGCCAGAGGTGGAAGGGATGGTTGGCCAGGATTAGAGTCCCAGGCTTTGAAATCTCCTCCTGTGAGTTATGGCTGCGTGTCAGGAGCAGTAAGCAAAGCAAAAGGCAGTAGCTGGGCTGGTGTTCTGCTCAATTGCCTGGGGCCCCAACTGAAATTTAATAAGCAAATGTAAGATTTTAGTGCTTTGGAATGGAAACTTTATGGCAACTTCTTTCTGCAGCCCCTGTTGCAGTGATGTATTGCATGTCTGGGTTGTGCAGTGCACCTGAGTGCTGAATCCAGCTCTGCTGTTGTGCTCTCAGTCCTGCCTGGGAATTCCTCTCCCAGACTGGAGCCAGGGGAATCTTCAGATCCCAGAGCAAACTGGTGTTGAATACAGTTATGGCTGGCATGTCTTCGCTGCAGCTCCTTGCACACGTAGGATGAGAATCCGAATGGCTGTGCCGGGTGGGGGAATCTCTGCTGGGGATTTTTTGAAATCCTGTGTTACCAAATCATGTTCAGGGATTGCATATGGAGAGTAGATCCTGGCATGGGGGATAAGAAAAGAGGGGCATGACTTGTTTCAGTGCTGTTTGTCTTTATTCTTTGGGTCATTCTTCAGATTTCAAAATACAGAGGTCTTCTATGGGATTCTCTGATTTTTTTTTTTTTAAGACACAGATTCATTTATTGCTCAAGGAGTGTCCTGTCAGAGCTTATTTGACTCAGTAGTGAGGATGCAGAACCCTCTCATGGGAAATGAGGAAAAAGCTCCTCATTTTAAATCCCCAGTGCCTCTGTTCCTGCATGAGAGCAGGTGAGGAGTGTGTGCTCTGCTCTGTGACCAGCTTCTGTTTGTTATTTTACAGTTTCTTCATTATGATGGTTCACAAAGACTTGTCAGCTGTTCCTCATCTCTCCCCAAGCATGAAAATCTAGTCTTGAGGGTTGTGTGTAGAATCAGATCATATCAGGAGCTGTTGTCAGGAATGCACTGAGATGGCAAAGGGAGCTTTACCCTTTTCCCAGCTCTCTGCCACTGGTCCCTCTTCTACCAGCTGGTACAGCCCATTTCTTAGGGATTTTTTGTGTGTTACTCAATACCTCCAACATCCATTGCCATCTCTAGGAGATGGGGAGGCTGAACAACTCTCAAGAAGTGCTTGAATTCAGTCTGACCAGGAGAAGAAAAATCCTCTTTACCTTGCACAACTGACTGTTCCACCTTCATGTCCTTCCAGCACGTGCAGAGATGTGCAAAGGACCAGTCAAACACGGAGATCCCTCTCTGGGGAAACCCAGCAAAGCTCCCCACAATCCTGATGCTCCTTGGGCACCTCTCGTGTGCTTTCACTGGGATAGGGCCCCCGTGGAGGCTCTGGCTGTGCTTGTACAGCCACTGAGGGCAGAAATGACAGGAACTTTTTTAAAAAACATGCCTCTGTTTCAGCAAAGTCTCTCAAGTTCAGTCCCTGCGAGGTCCCCGTTCCCTCCTCCTTCCTCCTCACGCGTGTGTTTATTCCTGTTTGCTCCTTTCTTTCTCGCAGATGGCAGAGAAATCTTGTCAGTGCTTTTCTGGCTTTGCAGCCTTTTCTCAATCATCTCTCCTTTTGTATCTCCAGCAATGTGCAAATCTGATGCTTTGCTATTTCTGTGTTTCTTTTCTGTGCCGTCTCATTGTCTCAGTCCTGTGCTTTTTGCTGGGTGAAAGGAGCGACAAATTTCCAGTAGGCAGAAAATAAACCATCCCCAGCTCATGAAAAGAATGACCCTTTTTAAGCACTACTATAAAATGTAATGGTTTTTGATGTGAGTTCCTTCTCTAGGTTGGAAAACTGACCAATAGGTCCCTGAGAAGCATCTTTTGATCTGTCTCTCGGATCAATTGGAATTTTATTGCACATGAGGAGAACAATACTGCATGAGCCCTTGAAGGGGAGCGAACACAGATGACATTTTTATTCATTCTCAGCCAGATTGCTTGGTATTGTGTCCCTTCTGTGCAAAATGACACTCTGGCAACAGGCCACTGACTGCAAAGCATCTTGGCATGGGCCTCCTGTTTGTCTCAGGCTGAGCATCACCAGAGATGCCAGACTGTTGGCCACGAGCTGAGGGTGTTACAGCCCCGCCTGTACCAGCCCCTCGCTGCCACTTCTGGTGCACAGTGCCTGAGGGAGGCAGGATGGGTCCTGACTGTTCAGATCTCTGGTGGTTGGCTCTCCCCTTGGGAGGAGCACCAGCTCTCCCGGCTGGCAGTGCATTCTTGGGGCAGTCCTGCCAACCCTAAACAAATTAGTCTTTGGGGCTTCTGATCCTGTGTTTCCCTCTCCTTTTTCTTTGCTTATGTATTAAGAGAAATTTTTGAAAGCCTTGAAGTGACCAGGAAGACAAATCTGTTTGACTTCAGTTCCATCTGAGCCACCAGTTACTGCAGCTTGCACTGGCAGAGCCAACACCTCACGGATTGCCCTTGGATTTTCCAGAGGGCAGTGCCTCAGTGTGGCTGGGCCTGGGAGCTGTCAGGAGAGCGCTGGATGTGCTGCAGACAGGTAACAGTGAGCTGTGGGCTGTGTTGTAGCAGGACTGTTGGCCATCAAAGCCAGGTGTAATACTGAGGCATTTCCACAATTATCCAGTAATTCATATCATAAATCATATTTTCAAAGTCCCTGTTGGGTCTTTCTGCCTTCTAAGACAGTTGTTGAAATGGAGAAAGTGGAGGAAGATTGTCTTCTTCCAAGCACAACATTTTACCTCACCTGGAGGTTTTCCTGCTCCTGGTGACCCTGTCCTGGCTGATCTCCAGAGGTCCCTTCCAACCCCAGCTATTTTGTGACTCTGTGAACTGTAATTTCGTAGGATGCCCAGATATTTCATTTAAATATTCTTTTTTCCATCCAAGTAGGAGTGTGGTGAGATGTGCAACAGCCACCACTGTGCACTTGGAGACAATGGCCTGAAAACCTGGCTGTGAATTCCTGTCCTGCCTGCTGGAGCCAGGCTCCCTCTGTGCCTGCTGCTGTGGAGTGGGTATTTCCCAACTAAGGAGTTGCATTTTTCTGAAAGGACAGGAGCTTTGCCTTCAGCTCTGATGCAGGGTGACATGGACCGTAGGACCTGTCATCACTCATGAAGTCAGTTCTGTTTCAATGTTAATAAGTCCTTAATCAAGTCATTTGTTTCATCCAGGATGTCACATTTAGCAGTGAATTGTCACATGCTTGAAAACTGGAACCATAGGAGAACTATTTAATGCTAAGTGGTACATGCATCATATCTGAAGCTGGAACATGCCAGGAAAACATCCTTTACATTCTGCAACTGATATTTCCGAGCTTTCAGGATCAATCATGGCTTGGCTGGGTATGTGTGCTATTTCCCTCTGTTTATGTGTGGCATAATATTATATTCTATATTTGGTAACTCATTCTCACAGTGCTTATCTGTTACCTATTTTCTATGGCTGTTTCTTTTGCTTTTTAAAATAATACTGTGCAGCAGTGGATGAATATCTTGAAACCAAGATTGACACTGTAAGTCCAGCAGAAAATAACTGACATTTAAAACTAGTACTCCTCATTCTAGTCTGTTTGTGATATGTAGGGGAAAAGGAGAGGTTTGAGCCAAGCAGCTGCTGGTGGCATTAAGTGGGAAACGGTGCAGAGAGACCAGGTTTATGATCATCATCTCCTGTTCTTGATGTTGTCTTCAAGAGGAACAGAGCTAAGGGCTAAAACTGTATTTTTAATATCTAGTTCCTGTAAGTCTTTTCCACTTGAAAAGAAGCAAAGGAAGTCATAGTGAACTGATGGCAAATGTCATCCCAATGCATTTTCCTCCTTTATTTAAATTCCATTTGTTGTTGTGCCATGTTTTCTCACAAGCTTGTTTCTGTCTGCAAACAGGTCCATCCCTCCTGTGAGCAGGAATGACAAACACACCTGTACAGGCACCAGATGCTG